ACCACAACACAATATAAAGTTCAATACATTGATACGAATCTAACAAGATGTAATGATAAGTGCAGTAGGCACTTGTAGTCACTTTCCTGTTGCGTATAATAATTGGTTTTCACTCGCAAAGAACAATTTACATATTGAGCCAAAATAACAATGACAATCCCATACATGTATGCAAGTATTCACACATATATATACATACATATCTCCACTGTATATTATAAGCGCACGTACTATGCGCGGTAGACGGTACAGTAGAAAGCCATGCGCAGTATACAAATTTAATAGACTATCCATGGTACAGAAAAATCCTGTACCAAAGCTATTGAAAAACTTGTACTAGTATAGTTATAAAACCGACTAGTCACAGGTTTTTCGGTGATCCAGATAAGTATGTCAAAATGTGAGACTGGTTGCAGAAATCTCAAGACCTGTACTTACGTTATTTTTCTATGCTCATCACTTTTGGTATAGCTTATTCTGGTAACAACAATCTTCCATGTAGCTTAAATTTTCTATAACCTTACATTTAACATAAACATACATCCAAGTTACTTTTGGATCGTTGTAATTCTTGACCGTCAAGTTTGTTATTTGTTTACTTTCATCGGCACAACAATACCAGCCAGTATCTCCAAAAACTGTTGACTGTCTTATAAATATCTTGTGTGTGCTCCTGCCTTCTGGTATTACATCAGGGCGAGAGGTTGTCTTTTTTTAATGTGAAAATCATTAGTGACCATAATTTTAAAAGATTTTTTTACATTTCATACAAAGATAAAGTAGTTAAGTCATTAAACTTACTCTACCCCATGTATTGCTGGTGGGAAAATAAAAATTGACATAGCCATTGCTTATGCACGTAATGTTAAGAGTTTCTCCTTCATGATATAATGTGATATTGCGTGATAAAAATACATAAAAAATAAGTCAAATCAAGCAAAGCCCCAGTTTTTCAAATTGTGGATAAACTGAAACCTTTCAAACACGATCATCACTTTACTAAATTTATTACTTGCCAAAGTGTTACCGGAATCTAATGCATAAGAATATGCTATCGAACTAAAGAGTGTGCAAGGCTCAATACAACCTAGCTAAATACATCACTCATTTAATAATGCAAGAGCACTTGAACGAGTATACTTATAGGTATTGTCAGATACACTTTACATCTATAATATAAGCACCGGTTTGGAAAAATTTCAATAGAATTCAAACATTACGTATTCGTTACACGGAAATTTTGGATTATGTGTTCATATAAAAACTCATAACACATAAGTTATTTTAAAGATGATAGTAATTATAAACGTATGATATAACGCCTGTGAGCTTTTAGCACTAATAGTTTGGACATTTTGAACAGCTGGGATTTTAAGTTTTGCAAATTACGATCCAACTGTTAAAATTTTTAATGATGTATTGTTCAATATGTAAATAGTACTTTAGTGCTGAAAATATTTTGTGTACCAAGAACTTCAAGATGAAATGTTATGTTTTCTTTTCCCGCAATGCTTTCAGCTGTTAGTGTATAAATTCCATCATTAACGGTTAAAATATTATTTATGCGTAAACTACTTGTAGTTCGGTTGTAGGTTCTAGATATAAAATTGTATGGATGTTCTGAAAAATTAAAATTGCCACCATAATTATCCACCCTGAAAATAAGTGCATTTCTTAATAAAACAAGTACAGGTGAGTAATTTATTTATTAATTTCAATAGTATTACCATTTTAAAATAGGTTTTTTATTAAGCTACAGGTTTGATTCTTGTAGTGTTAATGTTTTAAAAATAATTATACTTTTTTAATTACCTTTCTATATTGTGCCTTCAAATAAAAATAAATTGAAAGAGATACAAGAATTGTAAACGACCACACTATCAGTACAATCCAAAAGTAAAGTTTTTGATTTTCTGTAGTAAAAATAAATGGCTTTTATCATCTTACTATTACTTCCTTTTTGTTAGAAAAATCAGGTTAATAAATACATTTGTTGTACAATTCAGAAGACGAACTGCTACTAACTATTTTCAAAATATAATGAGAAAAAAAAATTTTAGTTCGGAACAACATTGTTTCGGAGTCGACGAAACAACTAATTCACCAAATTTTTACAATAAAAGCTTGAAGTTTACATACTACCTATTACGATTCGATTTCGAAATAAAATATTTACCAGAAAAATATAACTTTGAAGTCGATTNAAATATAAATAAATATGTATAAATGATTATAAATATTATACATAATACATCTTAAAACTAATTCCAAGGTAAAAAGGCAGATGACTTTTCTACAGTTTTTGCTGTGAAAAATATTATTTCGTAAGTTATGAAAAAATAATAGACAAACAGCCCTGCAATAAGAAAGGGGGGATTTTAACAGTGCATGATTTGTGAAATAGAAAAAACTACTCACAATGTACTTAAATTATTTAATTTTAATTGATACAAGTTTTAAAAGGTTTATCTAATGAGCCTCAAAATAGGATAAATATTTTGTTTCTTTCATACAATAAAGAATGAACATTTCATGCGAAAAATTGTAAATTCTAGCAACATGAAACTTATTTTTCCTTTTTACAGAAAAATCAGTTTGATAGAAAATCTTGTAGCACTACGAAAAAAAGACCATGATGCTTTAACCTGATTTCCGTTCACATTTGTAAATGAATATTCAAAAAAATCAGTGACCTAAGAGAACTTATGTTACATTCTATTATAAATTCGATAAACTTTTGTTCACCACTTGATAGTGAAGCTCTTTGTTTTTTTTTGCAAATAGCTAAAAAATAGTTTGGTAAGAACTAGCAATAGATAGAAATAGTCTATTACGCACCAAGTGAGCGAGATTACGAATGTCGCAGATTTCACGTAAACAAACAGTTAATGAGAAACCTAGGACATTTCTTAACCTCCGAACGTGGTGCGTATAAGACTTACCTAGCACCACGCATGTAAAATACATTTAATTGAGAATTGTAGCTCTTCATTACTTACTTATGGGTACTAAAAAAACACGCTCGAAAAAATGTCCTGCAATACCGATAAAAAATTGACTGTATACTTGTCAAATTTATCCTTAGGTCCCCATAGGACATCGAATCACAATCTGGAGTAAATATTAACGAAGTGCATAAATCATTAACTATAAGATATGCGATGATGTGAGGTTAACCGTCTTATGGTCTTGTTAATTTAATGTACTTTAATAATAAATATAATTATTTTGTTTGAAATTATATGAACACTTTTGTTAAAGATAAAAAAGCATTCAAATCAAATTTGTAACAAGCGTATGCTTACACTTAAAGTGATATTTTTTTTTATAGAAAGAGGTATTTTACATGTCCAAATCATCTCAACTTAAAAAGAAGGTGAAACTTATGGAAGGATAACATGACCTTAGGAGCATTACGTTATTATTAAATTATTTACTAATAAATATACGAATACTAGCAAAATAAAATTCAAAATTTACTGCTCACAACTTTTCCCCCTACTTCATCTGGCAACACTAGTTGGTATTAAGTGTTCGTGATAAAATATGAATAACTATAAAAATAACAATTTTATGTTTTTAAGGCTTAAAAAAAGCCAAAGGGCTATAACTTGAAATGAAAACGTTTTAATAGAGATAAGATATGAAATAGAGATATGCGATAGTCGTAATGTTAAAACTTTTCTGTGAAATGGCAAATGGCAATCATAATTTGTCATTTGATTTCAGTCAATACATCTGTTGAACTATAATGCAAAAATCAATGACACAGACTAAAAAGGTAAGTAATTATGCAACGGTAAATGTTATCAGTACCAGTTGTGGTTTCGTTTAAAATTTTGTTTATGAATGTGAAAACTATACTTTGAAGACAACCACAATAATAGTTATATATGTATATTAATAAAAAATGTGTAAATGTTAGTTATATACTTACACGTTCCTAATAATATAACTAGAAAAACAGGAAGTTTTGCCGAATGCAGAAAAGCCAGTGGGTCCCTCCAACCTTGAAAGCTTGACATTTCTGACTGCAGGGTGTGTCTAACCCGTAAATCAAATAGATGAAGCCTGGAAGCTGTAGTCTTATTCTGGCCTAATCCATTTACAATGTAAACATATGTAAAAATATCTCTAATTTACTTAATTTGTAAATGTATTGCTTATTTAAAGAGCCTTCGTATATACCTCGCTGCAGTTGCCAAACCTACAATCAGAGAACTACACACGTAGTATATAACGATTTTAGAAGGTGACTATGCCTCTTATAACCTACTACTACTATTCATAAGTGTAGGTTTGTGATTTGCTGAACGGCAATTAAGTTAGTTCACGTTGAAATGTAGAAATAGAACTTACCATCCGCCGTAAGTCACCTGTCCTTCTCATTATGTCTCCATTTTACTTTGCTGCAACTCCCCAGCCGTATTATTACTGAAATACATGCTTTGATAACGTGGAGTCCAAATAGTTGTGTAATTAATAATAGCCTTAGTAATCATTTCTAAGTTCTGTATTTTGAAATTTTGATTTATCTATAGAGTGTATAACGAAAGTATGAACCTATATCAAATTTACTGGAGAAAGTAAATTATGATGTTTTTCATGGCAGATCTAAAATTTGGACATTCGAATAGAATTAAGCGATATAACTTTTACTCGTTGAATACAAAATAATGTCAATTAATTATCTTCTACGTTTAATAATGTCCAAATTATTTATTGCAGTAGTGGTTTCTTAAATCAAATGTATTATATAATGGTACGAAATTTTCAGCAAAACTTATATAAGTGTCAAGAAATATGTGTAAGAAATTTGAGACCGATTTACTATGTCGTTATTAAAATATCCTCGTCAAAAATCACTCTTTTAACATTGGAGCAATGTTGCAAACACTACATAGCCCCATTATTTAAAAAAGTGTAACTTACCGTATATCTATAAACAATTAAAAAACTACTGGAAATCACCTTAGACAGTAAAAAAACACATACATTTTTTTAAAGAATTTTTTACCACATAGTTTTAAAGTAATAGTAATCAAAATAGTACTCTTCGTTGATTTTGGAAGATAAACACGTATCGAGTATGGGGCAACGTCACATTGTCACATAAGTATAACTAGATAGATGTATATATTAATGTACGTATAAGTGTACGCAAAGGCATTCACATTTCTCTCTGATATTTTAAATACGGGATGATATATGAACATAACCTTAGTATTGTACATCTATGTATACGATTGACCTACATTTTAGGAAACAACTACTTTAACAATAATAATGAGAAACTACTTAATTATTGAACTTTAATCATTAAATTCAAAAATACGAGAAGTTTGATTCATAAATATAAGATTCGATTATTTTCAAGGAAATACAATTTTACATGAATCGTACATTTCACTCAATATATACTATTGACTTCTGAATGTAAAAATTTTTTGGCGAAGAATAAGTATTTTGCTTTTTTTTTGTCGCTATAAGAGTCTGGCAAAAGTTGATTAGGAATTTTTTATAACTAGACGTGAGGTCATCCTGAAACAATTATAAAATTAAATGCACATGGGAGAGTAAGCAAAATATCTTTTTGTAAGGTTGGTTTGTAAAACTAATAATATAATTAAATATTGATAATTAGAATGAATTTGAGCCAATAATTAAAGTTTTGATATATCTTATCTTATCTTACTAATCTTATCTTTCTAATACTTTAAGCAAAGTTCCAAAAACCGTTGTAAGTGCTAACTGTAAAAACTACTTAATCGATTTTGCTAAAAATTTTGCATACTGATTTTTGACTCTTCCTTAATGTTTCTTGTATATTTTTATCTTCACAGCAGTAATAAAAATTGCAATAAATAAACTCGAAGTTTTCCAAAAATACGCTAGATTCCCACTTTAGTTTAGTAGGATTTGCTATCTGGTGTTAAAGTAATAATGAAGAAATCTGCAATGGAAGTTTGTAGGCCAAGTTATCACACAATTCGTAAAAAAAATGACACTTATATCAGAACAATTACTAGTTAAAAATTTGTCACAATGTGGCTAAAGGAAGTGTTTTTTTTTTTCTCTTATAATTTGCATGATTAAAACAATTTACAAAGCGTCTTAATAAGCACACTGGTGTTCTTTATTGTTCAAACTCTGTTTGTTTTTTCCTTATCGCAAACAATATAATTTTGATTTATTTGACACACAAAGATTCCTGTTAATGTGGCGTCTTTTTTATTTCGAAATGATTGCATAATTTTTTTTTTTTCAATTATTGATGAAATTGTTATGTTACAATTCAATGGTATCATCAAACAAAGTCTCAATAAAAATATTACTATGACTGAAAGTCTTATTGTAAGAGGCCTAATTTCAATACATTGTTAATAAATTAAGAAATAAACTAATTCTATTATGCACGTACGCATGCTTCAAAACATCTCATTCAATATTTATTTTTACCGACTCTTGCCACAGTAAATTATAGGAACGAGCATCAATATAATTCGTTGATTATTTTATGTACCCCATCTCGTCAACTTTTACAAATATGACAGTGTTCAGTATATTTATATTACCAGTGCTCTCTTCAAATTTATTTTTACTGGCATACTGTCATTAATAGATCATCAGATATAGTTTAAAATTTTAAACGATATTGCACTATTATTGTAATATTTATTTTATTAAACTTAAACTAAGCACCTAGTTTTTCCTTGACTACTTAATTTAGGAATAATCAAACATTTGCATTGTAAGTGACAGTGATGTTATTATGCACGTTTACGTACGGTGGACTTAAAATTTGAGGCAAGGTATTTACATAGTTACGCCGGTTTAGCGGAATTATTAAATCGTCAGACAACAGTGCTGTAGCTTGGTTGTTCTCTTTTTTTTTCAATTGGCTTTCTCCATTAAAATTTTGATATTCATGATATACTCTTAGAAAATGCAATTTAATATCATTTTGTAAGAGTTTTTCAATGCTTTGGACCAGCAATGTAAAAGACGGTCTTAACATCGGCTCTTCCTCCCAGCAATCAAGCATAACATCGTAACTGAAAAAAGATAAACAATGTAAAGTGAAAGTAATACAAAAATAGACTTATCACAAAAACTTTACATTACACTTCTTTAGTGGTATAAGATGGCTGAGCCATTCTGTATCCCCTGATTAATTTCTGATACATCACCTCGAACCCTATACCTGAGTAAGGAATTTCTGCAAGAGAGAAAAATTCCCAGAGTACTACACCAAATGACCACACATCTGACATAGTGGAAAAGACTCCGTCTCTGATGGACTCAATGGCCATCCACCTTATGGGTATCTTTCCATCGCATTGCTTCTTATAGTTTTCATCTTTATACAGAGTCTTGGCTAAACCAAAGTCGCAGATCTTGACAATGTTGTTCTCTGCCAGAAGTATATTCCTCGAGGCCAAGTCACAGTGCAACACCTGCAAATAGAATTAACAGCATTAAACTAAGGCTAGTTGATACGTAATTAGAATTAGATGACTTATGAATTTTTATATGTATACACATAATAAGTGCTTGCCTTTCTTTCTGAAAGAAACTTCATGCCGTTTGCCACCTGATAAGCCCATAACAAAAGATCCTCAGTGTAGAGGAACACGGAATCTTTGTCTTTATGATCACTTTCATAATTAGAACGCCAGCCTGGCTCAAAGTCATCATTAATAAAATAATCACTGGATTCCATTGAGCTACTGAACTTTTGAGCTTCTGAATAGTGAGTGGTATACTTATCGCTTAGATTGCTGTTAGACAAGGCTGAATTTAAATTTTCATAGATCTCGTGTCTTGTTCTATAGGCAAAAAATTAGTTTCGTCCATGACATTATAATTCATAGGTTACCAAAACAGTTTTTTTTGTTTTATTTGATGAATTTTATAAGTTTTAAAAATAACTCGTGAGTTATTGCAACATATCATTTTCTGTTGGACACACGGTGTAAATTACTAATTATTAAGTATCGTAAATCATATCAAATTTTTTAAACTAAATCATCTATAGTATCAGTATCACATTCGTTATTAAGTACTGTTTGTTTTATGATTCATGTAAATACAACTATAAAGTAAAGAAATTTTGGGGAAGTAAGGACGTACTAATTTTTTATGTAAGACATTGTTTGTACATGCTGACTTATGTTAAATGTTATATTTTTATTGATAGTTTATTAAGTTATTAGTTATTGTTTTTAAACGAGATATTAACATGAATAAAAAAATATCTTATTGTCTTTCAGTTCCAGCCCAATAACAAATGATATCGTCAACATTACAGTACCAGAACAAGAGATTATTAAAGGTAACTTCCTTGAAAATTTATACGTAATGACATATCTTTTATTTGATAGATTTTGATCTGTTTAATTCAATCATATTTTTTTTATTCTCCAAGCCTACCTAAATTTCGAAAAAATTTAACTCAATATCTTAATTTTTAACATTAGCTCTTTTAAAATTTCCTTAGATAATGAGTTACTTGTGCACTTCCTAAAGGAAATGAAAATACCAGAGCTAAGCCATAATAAGTTTGTTACAAAAAATTTCTTCTTTCCAATTGCACGCTTGAACATTTTGTTTTGAAATTGAAAATAATTTTGGTCGAGTAAACTCACCACGGCTCAAAAATTTTAATAAGGAGTATAAGCAGTAAAATTGTTACCTTCTTAAATTTTTTCCTATAGAAGTGTCGATTTTACCAGTATTTGGTTCAATTTGATTAATAAACTTTTTTCGATGATGCAAAAGATAGCTTTGGAGATTTCCAAATCTACAAAGCTCGACAATTACCGTAACTTCATCAAAAAGATAATTTTATTTTTGTTAAATAAGTTCTTTTATATGAATGTTTCTAACATTTATTTTAAAGTTCTAACGTTTGGCTATATTTTTGGTGCAAGCACCCAGAAGGTTTATGAGATTTAAGTGTTGTCCTAAATAAACCATAATTTTAAGCTCCTTTGCCAACGCACTAGTGTACATTGAATTTGAATTTTTGCGAACCGTTTTTACAGCCACAGTTGTAATAGACTCATTAGGGAGAATTCTATAGGCTTCTGCTTTATACACAACTCCGAAAGCCCCGCTTCCAATTTGATTATCTTTAGTAAGATGAATGGGATGTTGAGCGTTATCGCGGATCAATTAATTGCTAATTTTTACAATATTTTGGCGGTAGAAGGAGGAGTTTACAATTTCTTACCTACTCTTAAATTTCCAATAGGAAACTCTCATCGAACGTCGTAAGGAAGAAGTTCTGCCTGCTCGTCTATGGTTAGATCTGGGTTCATTAAATCAATTGCTCCTTCTTTGAAATGCGTGAAACCAGCTTCTAACAGTTGTTTTTCTTTAAACTTGAAATTATTGTTGATTCGATGACAAAAATATTTTCTATTGACAAGTTTCATTCTTAAGAAACAACTTCAATTTTTAAGTTACCTTCGCATGTTGAGTTTTTAAATAAAAGTACATTAAAAGAGATATAAGAATTGTTATAAGCCATACTATCATCCCCATGCAAAAGTGAAGTTCTCGATTTCCTGAAGACAAAATGAATTACTTTACTAATACTACTTTGCTTTCAAGTAAGTAATTAAGGACAATACTTTTATGATTAGGAAAATCTTAAACTTAAAAAACATCACTATTAAGGGTCGTTATTGCATAAGTTTGCCAATTTTTTGTAATAAAAATTCAATTTACCTGCAGAATATATAAACGACTTTATTAATAATTTGACAATATAATTAAAAGTACTTTAAACTTCTATTTTCTTTACAAAGTGTTTTATAACAAGGTGACGAATAAGAATACCCCCTACATCAGTAATGTAATAAACTCATTTTGTTGTAAATGTCACTTAATAAGTTTTTTTAGAGGAAAGCAGTACTTTTAATAAAAGTAAGCAATAAGTAATCAGTTTTCTCCAAAAATTAAGTATTATTATGTACGTCCATAATTGTTACCTTTCACATTAATTGTTTGAGATTTTTTTACTGACCAAAAGCCATTTTCTGCAATACATGAATAATTACCACTGTCACGTTCTAAAAGATACCGTATGATTAATTTTTGATTTCTATCCTCTAGACTAAACTGTTTTGATGACGATAAAGGTATACTGTCTTTGAACCACGTAATAGTAGGTGCTGGCATGCCTTCGAAGTGACATGATAAATAGACAGGATTTTCTGGGTCTTTTGCAAATCGAGTTATTGCAACGTCATTAATATTTCCATGAACAAAGTAAGCGGGAACTAAAAATAAAAAAATTATTTAAAACAAAGATGAAAAATAAATAATCTATATCTAAAAAAAAGATCCGCCGTGCAATCATTATAGAGCGAGAGTTTTTTATACATACCGTTGATATTAAGAGAATATTTTTCGATATTGTTCGAGTTGTATGCATCTCTAAATAAACAGTAATAATCCTTTTCATCTGAGCGACTTAAATTATTAATCGACAAGATAGCACGGTGAGTGAACTTAGTTTTTTTGAACGTGACGTGTATTTTTTCTGAAACATCATAAATTTCGAATGATTAAAGTTCAGGCACACTCAGCTACCCTTACAATATTAATTAGTTTCTTTATAACTTTAGTCTAGAACTGACCAGAATCTACAACTTTTTTGTTTTTATCATCATACCATACTGCCTGGAAAAATTCACGAATGACAGCAGTACATACTAAAGAAATGTTTTGACCTTCACGAAGTTTCATTTTTGGTTTTATGATTCCATAAGCCTCATTAGGAATTCCGTCTTTAAGTAAAATCATAAACATAAAACAATTTTTTATGACAATACATTTTTATCAAATTAAAAACTTGATTTTAGATGGTTTGGTTGGATTTACGAACCTGTGATGTGAATGTCATATTTTATATCGTTACATCCATAACTATTGCAAGCCATGCATTTTATTGTTGACTCTGCTTGAGGTCTTAACATAACCATTGACTGATTTTCAGCACTGTTGCTTTGCTCATTTCTTTTGATATCCTGTAAATACTTTATTTGAATTGAAATTACAACCCCACAGAACTAACGAATTAACAAATAACTAATGTTTTTTGCTTAAGTTGTGCATTTTTCTTTACGTTGTCTTTCAAAGAAAATTATAACTATACTCATGTATTAATACACATCATAATATAAAATACGTTAATAAGTAAATTGCATATCGTTTGCATATTTAAGATGCAAAACCACGATGTCCTTTTTTTTAATTCCTGTAACAGCTTTGCATATTATTATTAGTACTGAAACACAGAAAACATTTTTATAAAAAACAACTTCTGACTTGCAAAGTTATGAAGTCGATTTTAAAACCTTAAATTTTTGTATAGAAGTGGTATTTTACGTACAAAAACTTTTGGAAAAACTGAAACTTCTCCAAAAAATTGATTATACAACAGCTATTCCTTTTTGGCTTAGCATCACTTCTGCAAATTAGTATGATTAATATAAATACAAAAAAATGTTCGCATGTTATTAGGCTGATGCGAAAAAATCAATACAAACAAAAGTTATATTCAAACACTTGCGATACATCTAAAGTTGCCACTGCAATTTGTTTAATAATGTATTTTATATTATGATATATATTAATACATATGTATAGTTATAACATTTTTTTTAAAGACAACATGAAGAACGCATAATTTAAATAAAAAATACGAGTTATTTGTTTGTTTGTTTTTTTTCTGTAATTACGTAATCAAAACGAATTTATTATTATTTACTACTCATTACAATTAATAATGCACGTAATTAGTTGTAACACATCAAACTTGCCTAACCATTAATTTTTGTTCAACGTTAAGGTTTGTTGGGTTACTAATAAGCTAAACGTAATACTGACATTAAGTCTTTACGTGATGAGATATAAAATTTAACTAAATGTATTTGAGATATTTTATTGTTATATACATATTTTAATTTCTTGATGAGTAAGCTTATTCTTTAGCAATATACTGTGAACAGTGTAAGCTTGTAGAAAACACATGTAGCTAATATCGCACTGTTGGCAGCACTGCTAGATTTTAAGAAAATTCATACTTATACTAGCATACATATAAAAAGTTTGGCTCGCAGCTAACTTAACGGTAAGACCATTTTTTGTGAAGGCTAAGCCTGGTACAACGTTGATTTGAACATTTTGAGATTTACTCATCTCATTTTCGTTATTCTAACGACTTTTAGGCCTACATTTATCGGTAAAGCTGTAGAATAGGATTAAAAAGATTAGTTTAACCAAAATATTTGAGGCATGCTGGTAATTTCGAAAATTTGCGAATGCGAATCAGAAGTAAATAGTAGCGCCGTTACTAAGGCATCGTCTGCTTTTTTAAACTTGCCGTATTACGCTCCTATTAAAATTGATTATTTTACGTATCCCTAGTAATTACTTTTTATCATTAATTGGAACTGAAAATTTCCTATTTATTTAGACAAACAAACCTGTAGTTTAGATGATTCATCAACATGTGTAGACTCTGTTGGGTGACTGATATAACTCCACGATACATTATATTCCAAGTGACTTTTAACAAGGCAAACAAACGTTGCGGTCTCGTTGTAGCTGTAGTATTTTTTAATATGACTTGGATCAAACTTTACGATAGGCTTACCTACAATCAATAAGATGGTATTATCATTGTAGTGTAGAAGAGTGAAAATGACAGCAAAATATATTTAAATAGATTCAATATGGTACTGAATAATAAACAAATAAAAGAAAAAAAAATTAAAATCCAACAGAATGAAGCTGAAAGCATCATACCGTATATTTGGAGTTTAAAATGAAATTTACTATAAATGCAAAAGCTTTACTCATCATGGCTGTACAATAGTGCCAGAGCGTTAGTGAACATAAATAAGACGGTATTTTCTAATACTATTTATACCTGTGATGTAATTACTGATTTTTTGAAAGCTTGAGAAAAAGCTAACACATTATTTTTTTGTTACGCATGAATTCGAAATCATGTATTGTTATAAATATTTGTAACACCTTTTTACTCACTTTAAACTGATATTAGTTATAAACATGTGGTATAACACTTCAAGCTTCCAGTTCAAGAAAGTGATACATTTTTAACTATCAAATTAATTAATCATTAAAAGTTTTAAAAGTTGTGCAGTTCCAACTGTTAATAATACTTCTGTGTCAACAGAATTCGACCTACCAATAACTTCAAGATTGAACGTTATATTCTTTTTTTCCCCCATGTTTTCAGCTGTTAGAGTATAAATTCCATCATTGACAATGGAAATATTATCTATGCGTAAGCTACACGTTGTTTGGTTGCAAGATGTTGATATTAAGCTTCCTGAATATTCTAAAACATTAGGAATGACACCATGATTGTCTACCCTAAAAAACAATAAATTTTTTAATAAGACAAAGTACACATAAGTCTCGTGCTTATCGATTTATATGTTGAAATAAAAATGTGTATTACCACTTCGTAAAAGGTTTTGGACATGCAGTGACATTCGCCAAAAAAGTTACAGATTCACCATATAATCTGGATACTTTTCTCTCAACGGATGTCAGACTAATGTAGGGATTATTAGAATCTGTCGAATGGAATTTGTAAGCAACCATTGATCATTACTAAAGAGTTAAAAAAAGGAGCGGACCAAGACCTACCATATACACAGATATATGCTTGAGAGCTTTTTGTTTCATTAAACGATGATTCTATTTGACATACGTAATTCCCTGTATCTCCGATTGCAACATTATTAATAATGAGCACAGATGTTATTATTCTTGTGTGTAATACTTATTAACATTTTCTCGAATAGTATTAGAAATTATCCTAGAAGTCTAATAAACGTAAATACTTTATTATTAGGAATATTTGTCAGAACCATTATATGTAAACATATGTCGTTATTGAAAAAGATGTAATGATTTAAAGGTATTTAATGTTACCGTGTTCTGCGGAATTTTCCAAAAAATTTTGTAAGTGGCTTCTCTTTTCACTCTAAATGTACATTTTACACTTAATCTCGAGCCTGTAGTAATGTGTTTTGGACCATTTGTGATTATTGGCGATAAACTCATACAATCGTAGAGTACAAAGCCTCTAATTCTAAAATTAATTGTGTATGATAAGTTTTTCTGCTCTACTGAACAAGTAAATAAATCAATATAAGGACGAAATCTATTCTTGATGATGTAACCAATTTTGGGATTAAAAGTTATATTTTTGCTGAGTTGAACTACCTATAATATAAATATTATTTAAGTTTTCGATCCTCATTTAATATATAAATTTGGACACGGTAACATACGTTTCCATTTTTTTTCAAAGTAACTTTAAATTCAGGGGAAGTCGTCTGGCACAAAATAATTACGTGGTTATGACATCCAGAAGCCCGTAGAAACTGTCCTTTATCATGTACATGCACGAATGGGTTTCTATTGGCTGCATAATAACAGTAAAACTTTTAAATATAGTTTGTGTACAGTAATATGATAATATTTGATCATATTATGATACACTTTAAAAAGTTGGAATTTGTTATAAACTTACATTTAACATAAACGTACATCCAAGTAACTTTCGGATCGTTGTAATTTTTGTCTGTCAAGTTTGTGATTTGTTTGTTTTCATCAGCACAGCCATACCAGCCAGTATCTCCAAAAACAGTTGATGATCTTATAAATGTCTTGTCGGTGCTCCTGCCTTCTGGTATAATGTCGGGTCGAGAAGTCGTCTTTTTTAACGTTAAAATAAGTGGTTATCGTATTATTTAAAGTTTTTTTTTTACAACCTTTGTAAACATAAAATATTCAAAACATTCAACTTACTCTACCCCACGAATTGTTTGTGGGAAAATGAAAGTTGACATAGCCAGTGCTTATGCATGTAATGTTTAGGGTTTCTCCTTCCTTTATCTGCAACTCGGTTACATTTGGATGAAGCTGAGGCTTATGTCCATGGCAGCCTACAAAATTTAAAATCTATTTGATGTTTTTTTCTCTTTTTTAACTTACATTCTTCGTTGTACGTTAACTGAGTTAAAGTTGGCGCACTTGCTGTTTTACGGCTATTTTTATTAAAGTCATCGATTTTGTTTGTTTTTAGATATTTACTGTGTCAATAAATATCGAAGTAAAAAAAGGCGACATTCTGTGATTTTACCATCTTAATTATTAACATCTCAGTGAGAACTTCATTCAACGGAAACTTGGAAAAAAGTATAACATAATTATGGATACGAAAAAAAAATACTTTGCAATAGATGTACGAGGATAACGTAAACATAGTTACTTAAACAAACGAAGAGTATCATGTATTATATAAATATCAATATACAAACAGACAGAGTTTTCAATCCAAAGCAGTAAATAATAAAAATAAAAGCAGCATAGTATTACCTACGACACAAAATTTATGACGATTATTATTTTTACCATACTTTAATTTTTGCAAAAGCCTAATAAGGACCATTACTATTCTTTTGGAAAAGAATTATGTACTTGAAAAATAGGGAACGTCGCTGCTTTAATACACTAACATGTTTTGCAAATTGTTGATGACCCAAAAGTTTTATTTGTTAATTATTTTTATTAAATCACCGCTTGAGAATATTAATTCAAAACTTAAGATTTAAATGACGATTAAAAAAGATTTCAAAAGCGGTTTAGTGATATCACAAAGAACCATAGCTAGAGTTGAGCCCGATACATGCGTAGATTTTGAAAACAATTGGGCTTAGAAGTATTGAAATTATTAAGTGACTTTAAAGCCCTAAAGCAATGTTTTATTTTAAATTCAGTGGGTTTTTATTACATAAGTTAAGAGAAGCCCTGTTTTTCCTATTTTTTAACTATCCAAGAAATAAGTGACAGCATTGGATGGGAAAATATGTTAAATTTAAAATTTCAGCACCTTATTCCTCACACTGATATTAAAAGAGAATAGTAGGAAAAAATGCTGCAATACTAACAAATTATCAACTGCAAGCTCATCTAATTCTGCTTGGCGTTAGGTGTGAGGGTCCTAGCGCATCGGTCTAAGAGTTCATATTAACAAAATTATAAAAATTATTTGCTAAAAGCCATGTGACAGTCTAAGGTAATATTACTTAATGGTCTCATAAATTCATTATATGCAGTATTTTGATTTAGAATTGTACTAAGATTTTCTTAAAAAATGATAAAAAATGTTCGTTGTCGCACATTTCTGTTCATACTTTGAGGTTATAATTTTTCTGCAAAAAAAGGTACTTACCGAATTAAAAATTACTACCAAAACTATCAGAAATTTCAGAATATGGGAAGTATGAAGTTATTTTTAACAATATTTACTAATAACTATGCAAGTACTAGTTAATTTAATGTCTTTATTAGCTACATCTGTACCACGTGGCAATACGCGTTGTAACCACCTTAGGTACACATTGTTACTTTTTTACTGCCATAGCTTTTCCTTATATATTTTAGTAGTCATTCTCATCGTTAATTCGTAAATAATAATAATAATTTTTGAGTATTGAACATTCCAAGTGACAAAAACTAAATATACAATATAGTTAACCAATAGCCGTGGGGCTTCAACGTGGCACAAATAAGTATTTTTTTAAGATTACATATTTTTACTCAACAAATTTTAGAAACGATTAAATAAGTCAAACAAAACCCTGAGAAATTGTAGNACATCGAACTGAACACTAGCTCGATATATACTACTAAAGCTCGTCCGCGGCTAACTTAAGAGTCGGAACTTTTTGGACTGAACGTAAAAATTCTTGAAATGAAATCAGCACTTTTCAAGAACGTATATATAATAAAACAATTAAAAAAGCTTTTCTGGTCGCGATTTTTTTTTCAAATCATAGTTTAGCATTAGAAAAGCCGAATAACATCACACTACTACATATATGATGATGTTAAATAATTTTTTTACCATTTCGGAAATTCAAAATGCGAATTTGAGCGTATAAAGTGTCACGGTAGCCATGCACCGTCTGCTACTCAAACTTGCATGTGGCGCTACCGCGCCACTTGATGTCACGGTAGCCATGCACCTTAAATGATGAAATGCGAAAAATTTTTTTTGCATACATACATTCCATATACTAATAATACAGTTTTTGGTCTTGAGAAGTAATGAAATCAACAAAAAAAATTAAAGTTTTTCTTTTGTAACTAGTAGTAATTTAATTGAATATGATTAACCACTGGAATAACACGGGTATATCTAACATTACTCGTGAAGGTTATTATATTGAATAATATAGTACGTATTACATAACTTGCCGGGGCTGATTTTCGAGTTCTAGATATTACATATTAACAGTCATAGCTAATTCCTTGTATAACAATTAATCATTTAGTTTATTAATTAGTTCATTAATTTCATAAAGTACCTTTAAGTGTGCATTTAGTAGAAATTCGTTTATTAATAATTTTTTTGCTAAATCATAATAATTTTAAAAGAAATTTTAAATAACATTTCAATGGTGCTTATAAGTCAATCAATGATTCGTAAAATAAATGGACAAAAAAAAGTCCGTACCCTGGTAGAAATCGACCATTTTTTCAAAATTTATATAATGTTTTTTCCAACCTTTTTCCAGCGTTTCACAGCTATTTTGTCAAAATATAAAATTCTGGAAGAAGGCTAGAAAAAACGTTTTATAAATGCTCACAAAATGGTCAATTGTCTACCAGGGTACAAATTGAATTTTTATTTTTCTATTTGT